CGTAACCATGGCGACGTGATGCCCACCCCACCATGTCCCACCTGCGTCGTAACCATGGCGACGTGATGCCCACCCCACCATGTCCCACCTGCGTCGTAACCATGGTGACGTGATGCCCACCCCACCATGTCCCACCTGCGTCGTAAACATGGCGACGTGATGGAACTCTCCTCGTCCACCCTGCTTCACTGGCACCGTCAGGAAAAACTTACTGCCGTCCTTAGAAAAGATGGCTTCCTGGTTCTGCAGGGACAGAGTCGCCATAGCGACATAACACCACATTGCTGTATGTGGATTTTAATCAGTACAGCCCAGAAACTATGACACTGAGTGACAAGTACCAATTAAAAATTCACATCTAGATTTTAATTAGCAACCTTTTGTGCCGAATCGCATTTCCACAGTATATTTATTAAAAAAAAAAAAAAAACACTGTAGAAAAACATAGAGTACCTGTTTAGATAGCCAGACATCTGAGGTCTCCTCGTGTCTCTGAAACAGGAAATCCATACAGTGCTGTGATGGCCTTTTAGTGTCAGTGACACACAGCACACAGAACCAGCAGTTTACTGCGGTTTTTGGGGATTTTACCACTTATTCCATGAGTTGACACCCAAACATGCACACACACATACAGACACATACTGGTACATCTTAATTCCAGCTCTTCATTTAAAGCGGGTGGCCAATCTGATCCAGAAGGGGCTGTTTGAGAATACAGGTTTTCTCTTCAACTCCCTGATTACTAATTAGAGCACTGACTGAATGAAGAGGCCTCATACCAGGGTTTGAACAGCTGAATTATTGATTATCCCAAAAACCTGCACCGGCCTTTTGCGGATAAGATTGCTCATCGCTGGTCTAAAGAATAAGGGGGGGGGGGTTTACCTTGATACAGGCACCGATGGTGGTGTCACACACGGCAAGGACAGACACATTCTGGGCCCGGTTCAGCCACCTCACAGCTGCTTTGGTGCTGCTGATCCACTTGAACATCACCACATAATGCTCCCTGTGAGGGAGAAGGAGGCAGACTGAACTCACTGCTACGTCTGCTGATGCTATGCTAGCAATTCACAGAATTTTAGCATCGTCCCTGGTGTTCCTTACACTGAAGTGAACTCTGATATTCACAAAACACCAAGTGGCATGGAACTTAATAAGGCTATTTTCCTAGATGCATTTACTCACATTTTTATTCAAAGTCACTTAGAGTAACAGGAAAGGTTATAATTTATATGTGTTCTGTGGGATTGGAACCCATGACCTTTGCATTATTAGCACGCAGCACTACATGTTGAGCTACAGGAGCTATGCAAAGCTATGGGCTGTCCTTCTCCTGCTTTATCTGCATAGCATTAAGTTCCAGTCCAATACACGCATAGTGAACCTGGTCTACATGTCTGGTGAACCTGGTGTGCATGTCTGGTGAACCCGGTAAGCTGTTACGTGCTCCCTGCTAAACATTTACACTATGATGGGTAGGTAGGCGTAAAATTGCCAGTGTCCCAAATTGTGCCACACAGAGATTCTCATATCACATTGACCATTTTCATCACCCACAGGGATGTAATGGTGGCAAGATAAACACACATTCCCACCTGACTTTCAAGTTCTCGGGGGGCAGGAGCTCTTGGGTGTGCGTGGGTCCGTAGAGATTGACGACATACAGCTTCACGGTGGGGTTCGGCTGTCCTGCCTGTTGGCACACAGGTCAGACTCTGTGAAACCATGTGGTTGCAGAATCACACATTTTTAACCTAAAATCATACCTTGTGCTATTAACGTACACAAATAATATCCTATATGCATCACCTCTATAATGTACAGTATATAAGAAAAATAGTTATACAGTATCAAGCTCTGGAAAACATTAAGAAAGCACTATATTTAAAAAAAATCTGCATTGTTAAATCCTGGTTTAACCCTGGTTCTACAGGCAGGGGGCTACACTGCATGGCAGGCTTCTTCCAGGCTGAAAGTGTCTAAGACAGCAGTGCACAAGAAGAAGGTGAAGCAGGAGACACTGGGAATAACCAAACACCAACCAGGTAAGGGGCAGAAGCAACTTTCTAATGGCAGAGATGACCATCAACTTATCCAGCAATGCCTTATAATTCGGAGGCTGACCTCAAGTGACCTTCAAAAAGAGTGGGAACATGTCGCTGTGGTCTCTTATTTTTTGCTAGAGCTGTATAAGAAAAATAGATACTTTCCAGTGAAGGCTACCAGGGTTGGGGCCATTCCAGAATGCCCCCAACCCTGAAGGCTACAGAGTGCCTCAGATAGAAAACTCCTCATTAACCATGTGCCACCAAGATGCACTATTCCAGCAGACAGTGTGTGTTTATTTTAATTTAATCTATGTTATGCCCCATGTATTCGGTCCCTTCACAATCTCTCAAGCACAGAAAGAACTACTGTGAGATACCTATTAATGATCACCCCCTAATTCAGAAATGTTGCTTGCACTACAAATATTTAATCAGTAATATCAAATTTGATCTGGAAATTGGGTCTACAGAATCTTTTCAGAGAAGGTTGCAGGACCTGAATGAATGATTGATCAGTTTATTTCCATCCATGCATTCTGGGCAGGTACATATGTATTCATATATTTATTTATATTTATATATATATTTATTTTTTCTCCAGCAATGACGTGAAATGGGTTTAAGAATAGTCCAGCTGAATGAAGCACTATCCAGGCACCATACCGGACGCTCATAGCACACTGAGATCGGACTGTCATTAGGCAGCAGCAGGAACCCCAAAGTGGCACCTAATTTGGCACCGTTCCGTCAAGAGAGGCGGACATAAATGAGCCCAGGACTGTCAGCAGGAGTCGAGGTGGACAGGCAAGGAGGTGAACGGGAGGAGTGTGGAGGAGTGGGCAGGAAATGTGGGGGAAAATGAGAGGAGGCGTCAGAGGGGGAAAAGCTAAAATACCCATTTTATGCGCTACACATCTCTCCTAGAATTGTCAGGAGATGGATGACACTGAACATTAAATGAACTAGAATTAGTGCTTTCTAAAAGCAGAAAAAAAATCAACCTCTTTTAATTAGTGATTAAAATGCAGGGCATTAAAAACAGCCAAAAACCTGGAGTACAACATATTTGGCCAAAGATAAGTGTCAAATCTGTTTTTTAACAATTAAAAGCCTCAACAGTCAAACACCAATACATTTATTTAATTAAATGTCCAATATAATTTTGTGGTGAAGACAAGCTACACAAGCTATTGGCTATAGTGTGACCACTTAAGCAGTTAAACGGCTCTTGCTGACATTAAAGCTTTCTGAGCTTTTGTAAGTGAATATTGTTTGTGATTTAGCTTTTACAGTATCTTGAAGTGGGAGTGAAAAAACAATCTGAAAAGATGTGATAATCTTATACTTAGGAATCAGTCAGAGCTTCCATCGATATACTGGGCTTTGTGCAGTGTGTATGAGCGGAATCAGAGAGGATGAAGCATAATTAAAACTGCAGACACACCACTGCTTTCAGATGGTTTGGCTAGTAAAAGCACATAAGCATAAGCTCCCAATAGCAGCTTAAAGGAGAGATTTAAAGGAGCCCTTTCCTGGCACCAACACAGAAACACTGCGAACCAGTAAGAAAGGGAACAGGGTCCTACTGAGCCGTGCTTCAGAAACCAGACAACATCTTATCCCTTTGAAGGGCGTCTGTTTTCATATGTAACAGCAGAATATAAAGGCATACTTACAGGCAAATAGTTTAAGACTGTTTTTTCGGTGAATTTTCATTAAGCAATACTTTTGCTGAGTTCCCTAAATTGATGAATTCTGCCGATAGCATACACGCAATTTCTTTGCTGAAGTGATAAACCTGAGTCTTCTGGAAAACGCGTTAAAGAATTCAGTCAAAGGGGGCTATTTCGATTTCAAGAGGTTCCAAAACAATTTGAACAGTTTTGTCCAGTGAATAAATATACATTTAAGATAAAATTTCTTAAGAATGTCCTTCAGTTATCTCAGGATCATTTATATGAGACTGAGAGATTCATCCTTTACTGATGCTGAATTCCGCAAGCTCCACAGTCAATCTGATGCACCATCTAAAACCCATTACTCTGTTATCTGCCCTCGCTAATTCGCAGCAGGGAAAGAACATGGTGTTCGCAGTTTCACACCTTGGGGTACGGGTACTGTGTCCCTCTGGGATAGGCGCTGCCGGTGAGTCTGGGAAGGGCCATGTTGGGCACCAAGGTGTCATTGATCGTGAGGTACGCCAGCTTTTCTCCATCTGGGGACCACCAGTGCGCTTTGTGAGACTGCAGAATCTCCTCTGAAAACAAAGAAAATGACATCATTATTCCCTGGGGTGATAGGCCTGTAGAAAGACCCCTTTCAGAAATGCTGGTATTACTACACGGTATAACACAATTACTAAAGAAGATGTTCAGAAGGTGTTACTGGTGCAGCAAAAAAGGTACATTCTCCTCAGCACTCATCCTCTCAGGAATCCTGCAGAGCTTTGATGTATCAAAACCACCAGGGATGACCAACCAGAACTTCAGAACTTATTCTTGCTTTACTTTTTTCCCGGCAGAAAGTGTACAGGGATGAACCAGTGCTGTAAAAAAAGTCACACTGAGAAACAGCAAGCTGACACAGCAGCTTAGGATCTGGTGTTTTGGGCTAATGGCCGTCGCTTTAAATACCATGGTAACAGGGACATGCCCCGCCCCATGCAACGCGATTGGGCCAAATAGTTTCAGTTGCAACATTCAGTTGTGTGAGGTGGTAAAACAAAAATCGTTAGCCAGGTAGTCACTTTGGACGAATGCATTTGCTAATTAACTGCATCAGCGCATTAGCTTTCATGTCTAGTGTTCTCTCTGTATAGTGCTAAATGGATTATTAAAGACATTATTTGGTGATGTGGTGATGAGTATTAGCCCAGCAGAATAGTGAAAGGATCCAGGGAATTACAGACAGCCTTGTGCATCGGGACACACCTCACTGCCCATAAATAGCAGTAAAACTCTTCTCGACATTCATACCATAAGCCCGTCATCGAGGCCTCATTCTAAGGCCTGAACATGTGTGATAGCCACCATCATGAAGTTAAGTGGATTCCTCCTCCCTGCTAACACGTTCTCGTTCAAATTTTACAGTCTGGACAGCCTAAGACGCGTGAGGTCGTGTGGTTAAGGGGGGTGTTGATTTCCTGCGCTGCTCGCCGTCTCGCGCGGAGGTCAGTCTGCTTCCCAAGGCCCACTTAACTTCCATCAAAGTACTGGGCCTGAATGCAACGAGGTTCCTCAATGTCAGACAATAAAAATCAAGCCACACCTACTGGAGGGATAAAAGCACAGAACTTCCCATAAATCGGCCACCGGAGTTCTACCAGTGGAAGAGAAGTGAAATTTCTACAAGTATAATCGCCATGTGCTGTTCCGCCCTTGACGTCACACTTTGAAATTGACATCACTCACTACTGTGCAAAAGAACATATTATCCTCATCCAGAATTAATTAGCTAGGCTCTCCAAGTCCATCAGTCAGGGCAGGATTCAGTTTTATCACAATGCTGAATAAATCAGATAATTTAACTATAATAATTAGCATTTTATTTTGCAGCTTGCTAGAGGGCAAGGTGACCCACTGTAGAAACCGGAATATTCTTTTCCATATAGATTGATCTATTTATCTTTAGTATAGCCGCTGTTATATTTGAGATCATATCAACGGCTGAGATCTAAAGGAGAAATCTCATTTGATCTTGTGATCTTTATTCATCGGACATTTTGTACAGACTAAGAAAAAAAGAACATGTTTATGGAATGAGCTGAAACTCAAATATACTTTAAATGTAAATCAAATGGCATAATTAGTCTGTTCTGGGAGATATGAGGATTTTAGAGGTTTATGAGAATGTTTACATGTTAACAATGTAAGTACAATAGAAATGTTTTTAATTAAACTTTAATATTTACACTGTATTTGAATTCTGTTCAAATTTGTATTGTTTGCAACCTGCCACACATCTCTATGGCTTTGAAATTTGGAAGGCCGTACAGAAAATTTGGAAATCAAATAAACAAATATATTTAAAAGGGGTAACCCCATGAAACCATTGTTCTGATATAATTATGCTTTTTCGTAAAGGGGATTTATTGTGAAACAGAATGTAATAAATGTTACAGTGTACAATAAAGTCATTTCTTGATACGTTCAAATTGCATTAGAATCCATTGGTGCAGATAATCATGCCTGGTAATTTAAACTCAGAAAATATTATGGACTTTAATCTCTGCTTCCAAATTACAAGCCTGCAATGGACCTAAAGTCTATGAAGTTCTTCAAAAGACATTCAAGTTCTTTGATTAATTATATAGCCTAAAGGTACAACAGAAGACCCTCCATGTGAAACAGCAGTGATATTTTTAGGCTAAAAATGTGTGTCCCAGTTGCTGGGCTAATTTCTGCCCATTCACTTAAGAAATATACCTGTAACCTGCAGACACTAAATAAAACAGATCGCGCTGCCCATTTAGCATGAAACTATGGCAGAGAACATCAGCACCTAAGACGGCCTGCTAAAAGGACACCCACCTTCATAGAGCCAGTCAGCGATCCCATTGAAGATAACCCCTTCTTTACCAGAGGAGGTCAGTCGGAGAGAATTGCTTGCGACGTCTGACTGGTAGTAGATGTTGTTTTCGAAGATGTAGATCTGACAAGAGTAAAGGAAGGAAGACAATAATATAGACAACAACAGCGATAACTATAAGAAAACAGACTGGCACCCTGTCTAGGATCAGGACAGCCCGGTAAGCTCCAATAGGCCAGCAAGGGTCAGTGAGCCCTGAGAATGTGCCCATGACAGATTGGCTGATTCTGTCAGCTTGCTCGATTTAGACACAGAGAACCTCGAGCTTCCGTTCTACCCTACTGAACAAACTAACTTGACCAGCTTCTGATAGTTGACCAGCTTAAGGCATGTTTTCATATTTGATGGTTTAGCTGGTAATACAAACATATGATGGTCATTCTAGCTGGTTTAGCTGCTTTTACCAGCATGACCAGCTTGATAGACAGGCCTCACCAGCATGACCAACTGGTGACCCACTCAGCTAGACCATCAAAGAGCAGCAAACGCTGGAACGTGACCATCTAAGACCATCATAGACCAGCTAAAGCCAGCTGCCAGCAGAAGCTGGTTTTTAGCTGTTTTTGCAGCAGAATTTCTCAATCTGTAATGCATTCTGATGTCAGGATACATGGACCTAACAGTGGTGCCATTACCAGAATCCTTCTGTTTGACAAACATACACACATCACCCAAAGTCCCGATGCAGACTGAACTGTCCATTCTGAAAATGACGCAGGTGTAACATTAAGGGAATCAGGGGTTGTGATGTTATTATTTAAACATGATGATGATCACAAATATGATATCCATGCATTTATTTGAATGTATAATACATTTCAATATGAGGCGTTAGTCTTATCTTATTTTAATTTAAAATTAGGTTTACGCACACAAATTTTTGGCACTGTTTTGTTTGCATGTTTATCTTGTGGAGCATTGACTCGATAATCGTTCGTTCTGAAAACAAAAAGTCTCTCTGCGGCTCCACATGCCATCTGTCTGCTGCGTTCCTGGGGAAAGCAGCATCTCCTGCCATGAGTCCATACAAACACACGATTCAGAACTTTTGAAACTCAGGAGTGTGATGAGTGGGAGAGACCATGAGGATCTCGTGTGCAATATTTCTAATATTACCATCAACACTGGAGAGCTGCACCCTCAGTCGCTGGAGTAACAAGGCCCACAACACAAGCTGTGACGGTATAACACAATTAGCCAGATTACAAACGCAGATTCGCCCATTACGTGAGACTCATGGAGGCAAATGCTATGGAGAGTCCACATTAATTTCTCACATAATGCACAGACTTGTAATCACTGTAGATTGGGACACACATTTAAATTTAATGTTCCCATATAATTGAATAGTGCCACATTAAGGTGGTGAAGGTCAGTATCTGTGGAGAGCGGAGCACCGAAGGCTGCAGGAGCTGAGCTCAGTGGACCATGTCGGCATTAATCCACTGGAGCTGGGCCAATAAATTGCATTTTTATATTTCAACATTGTACAGGAGGTGGCTGCGGGCCATCGTCACAGCCTTTTCTTCAAATAGCTGCACACTGTATAAAATAGGGTTTGAGTCTGCTGTCCACAATTATCTGATTTCTGCATAAATAACAAACATACCTCTAGTTTACACTAATTTACAGTGTAAATACAGTGTAAATATGCATTGTGGATGCTTCATAAAGCTCTTATCTATAATGCGCTACGAATACCTTCATAAAGCAGAACAAAGCATCCTTAATTCTAATACTAATCATTATAATGCATTATGAATGCTCTATGGAGCTCTCATCTATAATACATTAGAAATACCTTCATAATGCAGTACAGAGCATCCTTAATTCTTATACTGACCATTATACTGCATCATGAAGATATCTATAGTGCATTATAGATGACAGCTTCATTAGAGCTGATGAATTATTATAATCAACACCATAATGCCTCATAACTATTAACAGAAGATGCTGCAATGCAATATTAATTCTTATACCGAACGTTATAAAACATTATCGAAAACAGCTTTAAGTAAAGTGTTACCCCAAGACCTTTGTGCCTCTAACTAATGTAAAAATCTGTAAAAAAAAAAAGAATTGTGCTCTTTATCCTACCCCTAAATCCTACCTGGTATCTTTTACCTTGCTCAGGCTGAGCCATAATCACTGTGGACAGACATTATGGCTGAGCTCTATTTGAATGGAAGTGGAATTTAATATCAGTGAAACTCTTCCTGAATTTATTTTTTTCTTTTTACCCGGAGAAGAACATTTGTGACATTCCTAATTTTGGGGTCATGGACACAAAACACAAGCACACAGCCATTCTGTTGTGATTTTGAAGTTCTGTTCATGTTTTAGGCTCAGATTTGCTGCTTCAGGTCAATTACACTTGGCATCCATGAGAAATAATGCCTGTTGTGGCACAAAATAGACCTTTACCGTTGTTCTCTTTCAATCTGTCTCTGCTGTTTACTACTCTTATTCACAACACATTTCTTTCCTGCAGAAAATGAAGTCTCCCTGACTCCCAGACCAAACACAGATATAGACATAAACATATAGTCTTCAACTGAAAGTTTCGTGCACGTGTCCAAGCACACACAAAAACACACACAGATTCCCACCAATCTGGCCAGGTAATTGGTTTTTTCTTTTGGTTGAACAGTCCCAACTATAAGGTCCTGTACAATGTCCCAAAACCTTTCACTCTCAGAAATGGGAAATATGAGAAAAGTCTCTGAGTAACTGATCCACCGATTTGCCTTTTGAGGGGGAGCCTGAGGCAAAGGTTTCATAATTCAAGGCAGAAAGGAGGAAAGAGTGATGAACACATGGCCTATCGACCTCACGCAAGGAGAAATACAGATGTGCGTTTCATAAATTTCTGTCATTAGGACAGCAGATAACTATTTCAGGCCTGTTTGTGGGCATGCCCGTTTTACTTACACAAAAATGTTCTGAGAACAGCACGAAAAATTACTGGTTTGGAGAGATAACTAATCAGATTGTAGAGGAGGTGGGTCCAACCAATCAGATGTTTTGGCCCCACCTCCTCTAGTTACTTAGACCCACCTCCTATACATTCTGATTGGTTATCTCTCCAAACCAATCATTTTTCATTCTGCTTTCAGAACACTTTTATGTAAGTAAAACCCCCACGAGTGCATACCAGCCGTTCCACAGGGCTTACAAGCATTCGCTCATCACGGCAATTTGTACACAGGACAACCTGAGCACCATCCTTGTTTTTTGTTGGCACATTATATTTTTAGCTCTTTCAAATTTGCTTTTGTTTCGCTTACTGATTCTGGCAAATTGTGAAAAGCAATTATCATAAAAAGCAGCGGCGATGTGACCTTGAGTGGAGAGTCGGGTATCAGCACCCTCATGGATGAAGCAGCCTGAATTGTTCCAGCTCAGTGCTCTCTAAATAATCTCCACATCTGTCATGCCCGCTCACATCCTAATGGTAATTGTTTTCTGATGGGTGATCATGATTTATCACAATATAAACCATAATAAACATGCCTAATTTTTTACTGTGGTTTCCAAGATGCTATAACCTTTGGATTGTCAACAAAAAGCTTCCCTCCAAAACAAATAAACTGCAACAGAGAAAGATTACAAAAAGGGTGTCTAATTATGAATCCATAGATTAAATGGAAGCCATGCATTTATCTGTCTCCATCAGTCTGCACTTAGATGCTTCTCCCTTGGCACTCAGAGAATCCCCTGCATTGTCTAATTGACTAGTCAGGCCAAAAAAAAAAACCCTTATTAATCACTGGCACAGTGATGAATTATTTTAACATTCACACAGGCCATTAACAGCACGTCTGCAGAAAGAGGCTCAATCATCTGGCAAAAATTGGACCAGGTTTATTCCTGTTTTGCTTCCCAGCTCTTATTTGTGAAATGACTGGGCGAGTCAGATATTTAAATGCAGTGTTTTAAGGAGATATGCAATCACTTGTATCTGAAATCATGGACTCCCCTCCATCCTCCTCCAAAAACATCCTTCTCTACTGTATTTACTTGCATAAAATACGTTAAAAGGAGCAATAAAAGCTTGTCATCTTGCTCTGTTTTAAAATGCTTTTTAAATTTCCGCTGTCATTTGTGGAGCAAGCAGCAGGATGATCATGTCACTTTACAGGCATACTGGTTTCATAATACTTCAGTCAGGTCCACAGTGGGTTTATTCTACAATACCAGCATTCATTTTTTATTCATTTTAATGTATTTTAATTTATTAAAGTTCTCTGCACTTTAAACAAGGGTAACATGCCCTTTCAGCTAAAGTACCTTCACTACATGAATGTTCTCCAGCTGCTTTGGATGCCCCAGACCTCGGAGGCACATATAAAATGCAACCCTTCCCTCTACTATAAGTTGCTTCAGATAAAAGCATCATATAAATGAATAAATGTAAATGTTCGTGTGGCAGCCATGATCCAGACTTCTGTGCAGAAGGAGTATTGATTCTAGACATATAGCACAATGCAATATTCAAACTACAGCTGCATTGTTTGCATTCACCATCAAAACATGCTCCTTATACTGTCAAGATTTTGCACACTTGCACTTTCATCCTTGAAGATATACAGTATTATCTGTTTTACATAGTTTTATGTATATAAACTTTTTAAATTGCATTTGTAATTTACACAAATTATATCATTATATGTGTACCTATACCTATATTTATATCATTATGTGTACCTATACCTATATTTATATCATTATGTGTAACGATACCTATATTTATATCATTATATGTGTACCTTGGTATACTATAATGATAATAAAGTGGAATTTAATGGAATTGAATGCAGTGAAACCTGCATATTTTTGCTGATATTTGAGATTGAAGCCCCCTTTATTCTTTCAGAGCATATCTTTCGGAACATAACGAAATGATTTTGGTCACTGCACTCATTCGGTTTGCTGCCTGAGTGATTCTTCATTCAGTTCATTGGCGAGTGAAGCGGTACAGCTTGCCGAGGGCTGCCTGTTACCCCAAGGGCACCTTGGAGGTTCCTCAGAGCAGCACCAACCCCACAGGTACGCCAACCTGTCCCGTGTTCCCGCTACACAGCCAAGTCAGACAGGAATCGGGGGATGGAGTACATGTTGGCGTAAAATGGAAGCCAAGAATTAATTCAGAAACTGCCCTCTTTGCCAATGGGAGAACACCTGAAAAGTCCTCCACAGGGCATCTCTCAGGAACACGTTAACCCATCAAAACCTGCTGGAGGCTACTGGACTCTCAGAAACACACTCTGGAGGTTCCAAACTGCACAGAGACCCAGACAAAATATTAACGTAATTTTAAAGGATAATTGAAAAGGTCATTAAACCTTAAAAAGCCATAAAGCTGAGGAACATCAGTAATAATCCAGCACAAGCATTTACCGAAATCCGGGGCCTACATTGTGTTCCAGCCATTTTTGAGCAATTATATTTTGTTTATAATTTTGTTCATAATTACCCACCATAAGAAGGCTTTTTTGTAATAGACAAAAATACTCTGTGTAATAGCATAATGGGGTTGACTTATTTAGGAATAATTACAAAAAAAAGTAATAAAATAACATTACCCAGCAGCCCCATCAGCACACAGCTCTATTTCCTGCAGTACGTGCACTTCTGCAGTGTTACTCTGTGCACCAATCACCAATCAGCTGCTGCTTCTGCAGTGTTACTTTGTGCACCAATCACCAATCAGCTGCTGAGGATTTCTCGTCTGGCTTTACTGAGGTAAGGCCAGTCTTATTCTTTTATATTAGTCACGGTTACTGTACTGTATGTAATTTGACTGCAGCTCATGCTGCCCAATTCCACCGGGTGTGCGTGTGAAGCGGCCTGCTCCATCACGCCGCGATCAGGCAGACACTCCGGCCCGCGTCTTACCAGCTGCTGGCCTTGGGGTCCCCAGGCAGCGTAGTGCAGGACGGAGTTCTGTACCTCCGGGGGATTCAGCTCCAGCACCTCTCTGTAAAGGTAGAGCAAAGGTACACATGCTAAGTGCCTCAGATGAATGTACAGAGCGTATATCAGCAGATCCATGGACCTTATCGCAGAAGATGATCGGACCGGCGATATCACACACTCTAGGTACTACCATCTCTGAAAGGGCATGAGGAATATTTAATGTGCAAATAAAAATCACAAGGAGTGGACGGTAAATATCTGATAATGCATTTTTTATTATTGACAACCACTGCGAGATTCGAAATGTGATTAAAAAGAAGTGAAATCTGATTTAATGCCTTGAATAAATATGCACATAATCCACCATCTCGTGCTGAAGGTGATTGTGTCGCTTCAATAAAAGGTAACATCAAAATACAATCATTAAGTTCCATTTGCTTCAGGAGGAGAAACTTACCTGGTGTTTATGTTGTAAATTATATAGGAGGCAGAGAATGAATGTCTGTAGACCTGGGAGGACAAAATAGAGAACAGCAGGTTAGGAGCAGATCTCAGCACAGAGCAGCCGGCCTGCAGAACAATATACATGACATCAGAATCAGAATCAGAATCAGAATCGCGTTTATTGGCCAAGTATGTGAGCGAACACATACAAGGAATTTGATTCCGGTCCATGGTGTCTCTCAAGCACAACAGTATAAAAATAAAAGCGATTCTGATGACATTTATCTATAACAACAAGTCACGGCAGCTGGAATAAAGCGAAATGAGAGCAAATGCACTTGGACGTCACTAGGAGCCACATGTTTAATCCTACTTGTGAAAATGGATTAAAGGCCGTGCGAGGAAACCTGTAAGAAGCCCCCCCCACCACTGAGTGTGAGCTACAAAGGCTGAAAGCGCAGCTGGAGGTCTGTCCGTGATCTTGTCTGCATACGTGTCTGAATTGCATAGGAGTGCTTCACCAGCAGAACAACAACGAGCTCTGCTGCCTATGCTGGCAGGGACCCTGTGAGAAGGACACGTCTCGCCACATCAGGGACTGAAATGGCAAGATTTCAATACACAAAGACCATAACAGGTTCAAAAAGAAAACAGGTTCAAATGGAATAAATAGTTATATGTTATCTGAAATAAAAACGATTTCAGGCAGTCCCTGGGGTAAGAAGGTCTGACTTCCGCACTACACATAGTTAAGAACAGACCACCATGTAGCTTATTATATTAAAAATTTGGGTTACATACAATGGTTCGTAAAAACGAATGCACTCAGTACTTTGTAAGGCTCATGAAAACATTGTGCAGTTTCAGTAGTTCATCAGCTCAAGGTACAGTACTGTACTGTAGTTACTTTTTAAATTACTGTTTCATTATTATTATTATTGTGTATTGTTCTATTCTTTTCTCGCTTAACAATTTTGACCTAAATAGACTTATGGAATGGATCTCCTTTGCAACCTAGGGTCTGCCTGTATGTTACTTCATGGTTTGGTTCATATTTGTTTATTCACAAAATAATTACCTATAATTCTTTAATAGTTCAGCAAGCGGGGATGTGGAATGGACACATGACATTGATCTTGAGACAGAACACAGATGCCATGTGTTGGGAGGGACTTAGAAGCAGAACTTTGATGGAGCCATTAGCATGACAGATCATCTGCAGTTTCGGGTGGATTTCAAAGGCATTCTGAGACTCTGCAGGTGATTGATGCTGCCAATAGGCTACATGGGATCCCATGACCTTGTCATTCCAAAGAGAAAATGTGGACACAATGCTACCAGAGAGAAGGAGTGACAAGAGGAATGTGTGATGTGTTTGGACTAACAAGGATGCAACACGACATCAGACCTACGGGGACTCCTTGATGGATGGATGGCCTGGATTAAAACCAGCATTTTCAGTCTAAAAGGCCTCAGTCCCATGCGGTGAATAATGTATAGTCCTGGGGAACTAGGAACCAAGCTGGGGAGAAGGAGGCTACTGACCACGATAGCGTGAGATGGATGGCCTATCAATTCTCCCGCCACGGCTGCTGAGGTTGCCCGGTAGGCACGCTAATGCGAACCACGAGACTGTCCCGTCTGCTCTCTTTCCTAATGTGTCCTCCATCCTCATGGTGGATTCAATCAAAACCCAATAAAAGCCAAAGTCTGAAAACATCTCTGCACTCAGGACTGCAGCTTGACTTCAGCTCTGGCCAGGATGCACATGATGTTACAGTGACTCAGAGCGGAGCGCCGTCGGAATTCTGCTAACGCTCGCCCCAAGTCCACCTGTTAATATGGAAATGGCATAGTAAAAGAAAGCAGGACAGGAAATCACTACAAAAAACTCTGGGTTTTAAAAGAAATTAATGGACGAGTGGCAGCTGAGGTCCAGCAGGTGCAGAATCTAGTTTGGGACCAGACGGATGCAGTCTAATTTCCTGCTGTGTAGCCCCGAGCAAAGGCCATTGCTGCTGTGAAGATATGACGGCGTGAATGTAAAATGAGACGATGCGCTGTGTTTATGGCTTCTGTCAGCAAAACAACAGCATAACATAGCAAAGCACATCTGCTACCGGGATACTTTCCAAGCACGCGTTCAAAACCTTTCGCAGCGATGCAACAACGTGGAATGAACCCCTGTCCCCATGCAGTGCACACATTAGTGTGACCACAGTTGAGGAATGTTCCGGTAACGGATCAGTACTTTTACTCATCAGGCACAGCGACCTTCACCCTTCCAGCACAAAAGTGCCAAAATACTCTCTGCATTAACGGCAAGCAGCAGTTTACTAACACATAGTTGTACACACAGCAGGGGTCAAATTCTGGTCATAGAGGCTAATCGATGTAAATTAGCGGAACACACACAGCCACATCTGAATGCCGATGTACTGTAGCCCGACCTTGGTGTTCCTAGGAAGCAGCTCAGTGTGCCCTGAAATGGCCCTGAAATGGCCCTGAAATGGCCCTGAAATTTCCCTGAAATAGGGGCTGTAGTGGCTGGCGCTGCCGGTGGGCTCGTCTCCCCTAACTCACCCTGCACACAATGGCATTTGGGGTTTAATTCTACAGAATATGCCATGACAGCCCTTGTGCCAGATAGAGGCTCAAACCACGTCCCGGAAAGTTCAGTGATTTCATTTCAGGACTTTTCATGGATTTTGTTTTAGAACTTTTCCTCTGCCCTGACCCGTCTGCCCTGCTTGATAAGGGTCTCTCTAGCCTGCCAAACAAGAGCGCCTCGATAATTTAAACACTGCAGATTTGCCAGCTGGGTGAAACCAAAGAATGAAAGTTCAGAATTCGTTTTTTTTTACATAAAGTTCAGACAAAGAAATGTTAAAATGCCTTGAAACTGGCGAATGAAAACTGAAGAGAAGTTTTGAGCCGCGTGTGACTTTTTGCACTTAAATTGATGCCCTCGAGGAGGGCAGCCTTGTCCCACCCTCCTCCCTGATGCTGTGTGGCTGCTGGAATAGTCGTTAGCTCTGGGTCTGGCCTCATTATCCTGGACTACAGGCTGCTTTGCTGAGGGTGAGACTCAGTTCAGCCTTGACAGTTCTCAGGACAGAGCGCCACCCCCAAGGATCTCCTCACTCTCACACATACCTCTTCTGCAGACTTCTCCTCGAAGACTACAGCCGTGCCTTTACACCTGCTGCTCGGCCCTTATGTTCAAGGACGGACAACCACCAATCTACCCGCCAGCGTTTCAGCCGTGAGAGAAATCTCCCAGGCCAGATTCACCCTGCCATCCAGAAGGTTCTTTAGGTCTTTGTTATGGTCCCCTGAACCTGCAGCATCATCATACTAAACCCAGCTGATCGCTTACTGCTATCCTTAACCAATCTAACATCTTTTTCCTTCTCTCTTTCCGCCCAGTGATATTTCATTTCATTTGATTAATTTGACTCCATTTCATTTCTTCCTGTATCCTAAGGAAAATAATCACAGACTAATGAAAAGATCTGCAACAGTAAACAGTGTGATTTTAGCCTCTTACATTTTAAATTAAATTATTTATGTGTGTTTTTAGCATTGTTTTGTATTGCCCTTAGTTTTCCCTCTGCAATCCCTATTAATAGTTGCTTTTTATTCAACCTGTTTTCTTTGTCCTGTCAACCACGAGCAAGCCGTGCAGAAATTAAACGCTCGTGAAAACAAAAGCCCACAAGAGCAATGCTTATTATTTGCCCCAAAGTATGTAACTCTTGCTTAGGATGGAGAACCATGCCCTTGTATTTTCTTCTAAACCTGCATTAATAAATTCCACTCAGCCAGATATATTTGCTCGGTCTTAAATGGTATTTTCAAAGGAGATGTTCCTCCTTTATTTGACCTAGCTAATAATTAATCTCTTTCTCAGCCCATGAATGAATTGAACGTTATGTTTAATAAATCCATCAAGGGGACGGCCATGGTTTCCCCTTCTAAAGCAATGGTTGTAGGGTCGTGCTGTTTTATCACAGAGATGATTAATCGGACCTATTTTTTTCTAAATGCAAAGTTTTGAGAGTGTTGCTGTCCAGCTGAAATTGCATAAGGCAGTTCTCTCAGTCCTTCTGCGTTATTTTTTAGCTACTAACTTTACATTTACTTGGATCTTTTTTCAACCTTCTCGAAGAGCAGATAATTGATTCTGGAACTTTTATTCAACCTTCTTAGAGTAAGCATGCAAATCTGATTAGGGGCAGGAATTGGTTTGATGGATGGGGGAGATACACAGGATAAGGCCTGGCCGATATTTCACCAAAGTGGCTCGAGCTTGCTTGCCTTGGGTAGCCTTGTATCTCCAATACAAGCTCAGAGATAGAGATGCATGATTAAGCATTGAGCTGTAGTGCCAATATGCTGTCAGGCCTCTGCAGCGGGGCAGAGGACATCAGGGCTAGCATCCATCCTGCCTCTTCTTGCCTGCCTATCTGACCTGTCCCCGACGTCCCTCTTAGTCACAGTTAGCTCCTCTCTCCTTCAGAAGACGACAATAGGGAGCTTGGGGACTCGTTCCTCTGAAATGCTCAATATAGATTCTTGGACTACTTTCTTGTTAAAAAATGTATTTTCCTTGACCCGGTCTGCTGGTTAGCTCTTGATTACTTCAGCACTAGTGGCAGCACAGAACATCTCGATCATGGATGACAGTGAAGTCATTAAAGGTCCTGGCGTTTATGCTTTCCCCCAATAACAAGATTAAAAAGAAATAAATAAAATCCATAACCAATTAAGCTAAAACAAATTATAAGTGGAGAAAACAAGTACATGTCAGTTCACATGTGAGACTTGAACAGCTCATAATCCATAGGGAATTCAAATTAACCCGTGTGTGATTTTACCAGCCTGTTAATCAATAGGCTCAGAGAGCTCAGGTCATTTTGAAGACCGTCTGACTCAAGCGATGAGCAACTCACTGCATTCAGCTGAACAAAGCATCCATCAAAGTTTAGTATAGTGGTCAAGGGGAAGGGTATGAGTTCAAAGGATTTCAGGGTATTTGCTGTAATGCAGTGTATCAAATGTAATTTGTTCATATAAGAATTAAGACAGACAGACAGACAGGCAGGCAGGGAGATGAGATAGATAGATAGATAGATAGATAGATAGATAGATAGACAGACAGACAGACAGATAGATAGATAGATAGATAGATAATCTCCCTCATTAAAACCCATTTTCTAAGTGCTAAGTGCTTCCACAATCACTTGGCCACCAAGCCAAAATCCTAACCATTGGATTTCCATGGCGCACCTCAATGTGGCACTCAGTACGGCACGTTCCATAAACTGCCTCTGAATTGATACTGGTTAAAAACCCAAACATGGTATATTCAGGCCATTCAAAAGTTTGGTCTTAAGTGGAATTCAGGAAGCACCTCCTCTCCTTCAACTCTGCATTATTCAACATAATTGCAGAGCCATTTTCAGACAAATGTCTCCCTGTCCTCTAAATAAATCTTGCCTTTCAGTCTTTATTTCCATCAATCCATGACTCCAAATAGATGAGTAGAAATCAATATTGATGTAGCAACGGCTACAGCCCAACGCAGGGCTTCTGCACTAAATGTGAATCCATCGCTGGCTGGCATCAGCAGTCACAAACGTCGTAAAAATGATAATAACGTCAGGAATCTCATTGGAAGGATGGCATTTCTCTCTGAAACACTCAGCGGAAACTGAGTACAAAAGGCAGGTGTTCTGCTCTATTCTTAGATTGACTGGGGGTGAATCACTATTTGCTGGACAAACGATATCAAAGGTCACAGAACACAGTGATGAATCCTGCCTCCCAACCGCAGTCTGCTTCCCCTTTTCTTATCTCGCATCTGAAGGTGCCATTCGTTTCATTTATCCCCGATGATTCGGCCTATCGGGCCTCTCTGTTCATTTGGGCTGCTGTGCCCAGCCACGTTCCTCTCTTTTATTAATGACTCCAAGCCACAGGCCATGTCTACTGAACAAACTCATCTTGTAATTCATTTACCACCAAATTTTGGAGGCTGAATATAAATTCAGGACAGATGAGCAGTACCTCGACATTTTCCACATGTTTTTTTCTCCTTCTAAGCAGATTGCCTAATAAATAATATAGCGTCCAATAAATGACGCAGTCATACAGAAATCCAGCCCGCAGGGACGGTCATTAATCGCACATCCGGCGCTCTTCTTTTAACCCACCATTCATCTGCAGCATGAATAAACTCCTAGGGCTTGACCTTGTGAGTGACAGAGAGGGTTCCCTATTCATGGGCTAATTTCAGAGACCAGGATAATCATGGAGACATAGCAACAGGACAAACACTAAACCTACAGCTTCATCTATTTCTGAGGGATGCCGGCATCCAAAAACTGAGCTCTTTATTTACGGGGTCAATGCAGTCTGCATATTCCTGCTCCATGTAACTGTTCAATGTGCTGCACAATTTCTGCCTTTGAAATTGAGGAATCTTCGCACTTAGGTTTTATCACTATGCAATATATAAAATATACAAAATATTATATAATGCATAAAAAATGTGGACATGAACTAGAATGAAAATGCACATACATTGTACTCTGAATTATTATCTGAGTTTTTGCAATTTATTTGTTATTTAAACTACCTGCAAATACCAACTGGATATAGGATAAAAAAAAATAGCAACATCTCGATACAACTTATAACTTCTATTGCTTGATATAATTTATAAACATGAGAAATGAAAACATGTATTTTTCCATATTTCCAAATATCTCATGAGAAAAACACAAAAGCAGTTTTCAAATGATCACAGCTTGAATTTACTTAACACTGACCAAGATCTAGAACATGCAATTTCTGCAGAGAGCAGAGTACCTAATTTCCGCAGGAACAGAATACCTCATTCCAGAACATGCCATTTCTCAAGGAACAAATTACCATATTACTCCAGGAACAGAGAACCTCATTTCTGAACATACGATTATTGTGGACAGCAGAATACCTCATTTCAGAACACATGGTTACTTCAGAGCAGAAAACCTTTTTTCAGAACAAGCATTTCCTGCAGTGAGCAGAATACCGCATTTCAGGATGCGCCGTTACTGCACATAATGCTCAGAGTCTACAAAACCTTCAGCAGTAAATCCTTTTATTCCAAGTCTACCCACTGCAATCCTATTCTCCCATTCATGATGTTGCATTGAAATGTATCAGATGTCTGTCTGTA